ACTTTATGTTAGATGTTAAATGGCCGGGAAAAATCTTATAGCACTTATACCCATTATTAGAGCAATTTATGTTTTATTCTTTTTTGTCTACATATAACTGTGGTTTTTATTGTAAGTTTCTCTTTCTCATTGATATAAACATCAAGCATTTGTCATTTGTTTCCTTCATTGTTTTGTTAACCATTGTTAACCTTCATATTAGATTTTTTGTCACTTGTTCCCAAATGGAAGAAATTTTTTAATAATACACTACCAAGTTGCCTCCCACTTTTTTGCTGTTTCTAGTATTAACATCCTGTAAACTTTAGAGATCACAGGCACCAATTTATTTCTCCGATATTGATCCTTTAGAAAGTCTATATAAGTAACTTAGCATAGAAGATATAATCATGACCTATATTGGTAAATATAATCTCAAATTACCTATATTGGTACCTATATTGGTAAATAAGATTTAACTTTAAATTTGCAAATTTTCCTCAAATAATATGTCAGAAATATCTATTTTATTTTTGGAAGATTCATAAAAATGAGAATTAACTTTTGTTTACAAATCTATGAAAATGGCCAATATTTATCGATTTTCTGAAAGCAACTGAAAAATTGAGGCTCCAATCAATTTAATTTCTATTTGAAATACACTAGAGTATTTTTCTTACTGGAAATAGTAAATTTAATTATTTAGCTTTCAATTAAAGCTAAAAAGAAAGCTTCAAGAATTCTTTTACATTTTGACAAAATGAATTTTAAACCTTAGGTATCAAAGATTTAGTGGAGGTCCCTAAATTAAACCCATTATTAGCGCAATTTATGTATTAATCTTTTTTGTCTGCATAGAACTGTGGTTTATATCGTAAATAAAAGTTCTCTTTCTTATTTCTATAAACATTGAGCGTTTGTTGTTTGTTTCCATTGCTGTCTTGTTTAGGTTGTTAACCTTCATATCAGACTTGTTGTCACTTGTTCCCAAATGAAAGGAATTTCATGATAATACACTACCAAGTTGCCCCCACTTTTTTTGTTGTTTCTAGTATTATCATTCCGTAAATGTTTGAGATCACAGTCATCAATTTCCAATTTATTTTGCGATAAAAATGGTACTTATATGATCAAAGAAATCTATATACCTTTTAAAATTCATTTAAAATATAATTCCAAATTTTGGTCAACCCCATATTTAAAGGAAAAATACTTTTTTCTGGTAATGTACTATAGTTACATGCATATGTAATTCCCAACAAGAAATTACTAGATGTTTGAGTCAAATCTAATATCCATCAGGATTAGATTTGAGAAGAGTTGAACTGTGGGTCACCCAAAATATATACTGGGTTCACCATAAGAGACACCAAGTTTTATACTTGATGTCACCTCAGAATATCAAAAAACCTAGGAGTACGGAGAGGTGAACAAGGCAGTAACCTCAAAGTCATCAAGTGTAGGAACAAGCCTCAGAAGATGTCAGTGGGTGCACCAACCTAAACATGGAAGTTAATGCTGCTGAACTTAGGATATACACACAAAAGACAACAGTAAGTTATATAATTGTCCAACCTATGAGGAAACTAGGAGAATACCTCACAACTTTGAAAGAAGATTGAATGTTTAAAGAAATACCAGAAACCACATAACCTCGATCCAACCCATGTTATAGCCTTTATAGACATTACTAATATTACACATGTTTATGTATCCTCTAAGACACATCAACCACTGCTGTTAGTAACAGAGAAAGACTTACTATTAATTGTAGATAAGTTTTAGTAAGTAGATAGTGAGCCTTTTAATTAAATATTTGCCTGTTTACTTTTGTGGTCAACATCTAAATACTCTTGTGTCCTGGGTAAGATGATAAACTACATCCAACAGCAAGGAGGTTTTGAAGAGCATAGAATCACCTCTTACTTACTGGTGTTCCTAGGTCCACCCTGACCTGTGGTGGTAGCACCTGTTAGGGTCCCAGCTATCGGCAAATAGTTAACCCCCAAACTGGGGTCAAAACACTATGAAAATGTAAAAATAGGTTTTAATACCAATAATACATTTTTGGAAAAAAAAATATTACCAGAAATAAAAATCTTGTCAGCATTAAATAAGCCATTGAGGTTGATATGGCAGAAAACAACCCAAACTAATCTGAATCCTTATAGGATTCCCTTGACTAAAAATTAGTGCTTTTAGCATGTCATAAAAATTAACAAGGGCACCTCAAGGCGGTGTAATGATTAGCAAGCTTGTCTCACTAGAACAATTACGACTGAGTAGTGAGTTTGATCCTCTTAGGTGCCCCATACATTCGGCTTTGTGCCACATCTAAGCTACGCTTGGAAAATCACTATAAAAATTAATGAAAAATTTTTAACACATTTAGAATAATTTCTTTTTGAATTTCTAGGATGAGGAGTTATCATTATTTACAATATTTGTAATCAGTGTATTATCCTAATCTTTGTTGTTGTTATCACCTTTTTCGACTGTTTTACCCTAGGGCCTTCATCAGGGCACAACAGTCAAATTGGGATAAGAACAAAAACGACGAGGAGAATAGTTTGAATAAAAATAGTGTAAATAACATTTAGAATAAGTTGACAAATTCCCAGATGCTATATTTTTAATTTTCCAAATAACGAAAGAAATATATATATATATATATATATATATATATATATATATATGAAAAAAAATTTGGAAAAAACAAACAAAAAAATCCCTAAATCTTCATTCTGTCGGATCTATATCCATTTACATTTTATATATATATATATATATATATATATATATATATATATATATATATATATATATATATATATATATATATATATATATATATATATATATATATATATATATATATATAATATATATATATATATATATATATATATATATATATATATATATATATATATATAATATATATATATATATAATATATATATTATATATAATATATATATATATAATATATATATATATATATATATATAATACATATATATATAATACATATATATATAATATATATATATATATATATTATATATGATATATATATATATATATATATATATATTATATATATATAATATATATATTATATATGTATATATAAATAAAAATTCATTTGAAGATGAAATGTAACTAATGTCTTTAAAATCAAATTTGTAGCTTTTAGATTCCATTTTTTGAAACATGGTTAGAACTGTGTAGTAAAAAAAATTATATATATATATATATATATATATATATTTTATATATATATATATATATATATATATATATATATATGTGTGTGTGTGGTATTACTTGGACACAAATGTTACCACTAACTCATTAACGACCACAAATAAATCAAGTATTAATTAGTGGTTTCCGAAAGATTTGGTATTAATCATAATTTTTATAAAGAATCAAGTATTAGCAGTAGGTTTCTAAAGACTCTGGTATTAAGTAGAGGTTTATAAGGGAATCCAGTATTATCTATAGTTTTATAAAAGAATCCGGTATTAAATATAGGTTTCTGCCTATTACCCATTAATGTCTGACAGGTGTATTTTCAAGTTTTCCTCTTGCTAAAAGCAACCAGGATATAATTTCTCATGTTGAGAGAGAAAAAAAAAAAAAATCAACAATTACCTTGCTTTGTCAAAGTCACTCAACCTGAATAATTCTAACAATACATTTGTAGCTTTCAAAAACGATCCCTGTGATGCTTTTAAAAGTCATCAGTTATTGTGGTGTCTTTTTCATTTTTCTTCTTTTTTTTTCACCTTTTGCAATATCTAAGCGCACCTCGTGTGATAGTTCCAAATGCCCCAGCAGGAGGGCTAGATCTGTTAAGATTCACTCCTCAGCATAGCAACACAGATAAACATCTGTTTTGAGGCCACCTTATCCATTTAAATCATGAACAAACAAACCTCAAAGGCAATTTATTTCTCATACAGTCACTTTCTATTGCTTAAAAAACTGTTCTCTACATAAGGTATTGTAGTTTACTTAGGAAATATTATCTCGATGAAAGATATAAACCAGAGAATTAATTCAATTAATTATGGCATCCAGGCCGTCTTATCTTTGGCAGGATTCGATAGGAGTTGCATGATCACTATTTGCTGGTCTAATGCTCTGCAGCATTTGAACTTTATTAAAACTTCTGAGACAATCTGTGTTACAAACTGTAGAAAAATTGTTTATTGTAACAAGCAAAAAATGTAATATTACTATTTGTTTATCTGGATTATCAACATTATCATTAATCTACCCACTGAAAGCAAATTATCTCCTCCAGTTAAAAATACACAAATTTAAATCTTAAAATTTAAATACGCAAATTCAAATCTTGTAATCTAAAAAGAACACTTTTGCTTAAGATCAAAAAGAGATAGTTGAAACTGGGAAGCAATGAGGAAAGATAGCTTGGAGAATTTGACACTCAAAGGGCAGAAAGGAAACAGCAAGTAACCTACCTAAGAAATTTGTGTAAATGGATGGCAGAACTGGTGCTGAGAGGGATAGCGAAAAGACAAACATTAGAATGGATAGAAAGTTGTGGAGAGCCATGATCCCTCATCCTGAAGAGACAGAAGAAAACAGCGAGTAACCTATCTAACAAACTTGTGTAAATGGATGGCAGAACAGGAAGACAGATAATAAAAAGACAGACATAATGATGAGCTACAAGTGTAAGAAGTTGTGGAGAACCATAATCCCTCTCCTCCTGAAGAGATAAAAAGAAACATGTAAGTAACCTACCTAACAAGCTTGTGTAAATGGACAGTAAAACAGAAAATATTTTTAGATTATAAGAATTCTTTTTTAGATAATAACGTTTTAGTGATACAAATCTTACTAGCTGAGGGGAGCAGAGGTGGATTCATGCCTTTCCCAAGGGTATTTGCAGATAACTGAATATAACAAACACAATTGGAACCTCGGCTCCACGATTGACAATTCCGAGTCATTATCCATTACCCGACCTGCACATCTAAGCTTAGAGCACCTGGTATTCCTAAGCGGTCACCCACCTAGATACTGATCAGGCTCAACATTGCTTAAGTTTGGTGATCATACAGGAACTGGGGTTTCAATGTAATATGGCTGTAAGCTATGAGAAAAACTTATCAAGAAAAGTGAGCAATAAAAAAATGTCAATTAAGAAGACAGAAAAACAGTGTTCTACAAATTGACAAACATTCATCACGTCTCATTTGTGAAGTTTCCTGTGGACGGACATTTTGCCGATGGACCTTTCACTGAAAAAGTCCAAGTAAAAATAGTAACAAGCAATACTTTAAGTATTTTGATTCGCAGTATTATAAGACAGAATAGGACTAATAATTACCACTGAATTTCAAGTGATTAAATTACTAAATCTAAATATTATTTGTTTATTGAAATTAGTATTTTTAAAAATATTTGAGTGTATTTGGGTAAAAGGTAGCACCTAATTATTTAAATTCGTATTTAACAGTAAGATAAAAATCTAGTTCATCTCTTTAAGATAATGGTCATTAAAAGTGAAATTGGAGGATCTTTCATATCGTAAAAGCTTAAGATTTTTGCTGTAGTAAAATATGTTTTTCTCAAAAGACTTATCATCTTACAGTAATATTTGAAGTAAAATATAATATATACTGAATAGATTTTTAAAAAAGCCTGTCAAAAAATACCCTCAAAAAATTATAAATTAATACAGTAAATAAATATAAATATATGTAGTAGATTATGATTAAGAGTGTGACATACATGTAAGTAAGCCATTACATTTTCGGTTAAATGTCCATTGGCCAAATGTCTGAGTACCGAAATTTCCTGCCTTCTATGTGCATGATGTCATCAAGATAAAGAATAACAATCATCACAATTGCACATATTCGCTGTTCAGTTCTTATAGTAATGTCATATATTCAAGGAATGCAAATTAGTGAGCACAACCATTGCTATTCAAATGCATCAGTAGTTCCACCTGTGCCAATCAGTCATGGTTTCTCTAAACAGCTAATTCATCTAGAGGACCGATCCTATTTGGTGAGAAGCACCATTCAAGCCTAGAAGAAGGAAAAAAAAAACAAGTCATCCCCAAAACACCATATCTAGAGTTTTTTTTGCTCTGTTGTCTGATGTCTTTTTTAAATTAATACATAGTTTACTATTAAGTTTGCCAGAAAGTCCTGACTCACTTAGAAGTGGAAAGAAAACAACAAAATTCTATGGAGCAACACAAACATTTATTCTTCAAAATAAAGTCCATCATTCTTGACAATCTTCTGCCAGCATCAAATCTGTCCCTGATACCAGTCCACTGACCTTGAATCAAAAAACTGTAAACGAGTTTCCTTCACTTCATCAAAAGTGTTAAATTGCTGGTCATAATCACTCAGAGCAGCGCTGGGACTGAATGGTGGATGTGGAAGAATCACAACACTATCTATCTGTTTGAACTTCTCTTTAGTCAACCTCACCTGTTCGGTTGGGGGAGGATACGCCGACTGCACGTCTGCAGAGGAGTAAGACCTCCCACCCAATGGGGGCGTCCTGGGTATGATGATAAACTACATCTGTGTCCAGGGTAAGACAATAAACTATGTCCAACAGCAATTTGCCTGTAACTGGGACCCTAACAGGTGCTACCACTCCGGGTCAGGTTGGATCAGGAGGTTTTGAGGAGCATGGAACCACCTCTTAATTGCTGATGTTCCCAGGTCCAACCTGACCCGGGGTGATAGCACCTGTTAGGGTACCAGCTATGGGCAAATACTTAACCCCGAAACGGAGGTAAAAAGCATTATAAAAGTGTAAAAATAGGTTTTAATACCAGAAATATTTTGAAAAAAAATTATTACCAGAAATTCACCCAAACATCTGTCATGAAAATACCAATAGAGTCTTGTGTCACTTGTTCATTTCTTCCAGAAATGTTGAACCAAAATACATGACTTTTCAGCACTACCAGAACCAGGGATTGAATTCAGTGCAGGGAACTTTAATTAAAATTTTACCAATGTTTTCATTCTTTAAGCCATCCTCTTCAGGACTCAAAATAAACCTTTCAAAAACAGAAACTATGATGTGGAATTAGAATGAAAGCAGTGATGGCACCTACCCAGAGTTCATGATGAAAATCCAAACTGTTGAATTAGTAAATACTAAACACTTTAAATACCTTAGTGTATGGATCAGGTATTATAAATTTAGTAGAAGAGATAGAGTAATTGAACATAGAATAGACTGTGCCAGGGGGAAGCATTGCCCAACACTGCAAATTGCTACAATACAAAAAAATAAATCTAAAAACTCATCACATTGAGACTTTCAGGTGGATGTCATACATAGCATCAAACTTGTTCAGAAATATCTGTCAGTGGTATACAATCACTTTTTCAGATCAATGATTAAAAATAAAAAGTTTGGGGACCTCTGTTCTACTCAGGAGTAGACATTTTGCAATTGGCTGAATACAGACTGTAGTTGGAACAATTGTACTTTATCAAAAGAATATCCCTAAGATTTGTTTGCCCTCTCTAATCAGCCAGGAAGTCTTAAAGAAATGGTAACAAAAAAGAATTCTTATAATGCTTGGAATCAGAGAAACACAGCTGGAAATTATTTGACAAATAATGAAGAAGCAGGGATTGGAAAGGCTAACTCTCATAGGGTACATCGTACATATATGGTCTTGGGGATTAAAGATACCTCGAGAAGGATGGAAGCACAATGGCCAAAATGTTATGAGTAAAACAAGCAAGATACACATGCTAGTCTGAATAGCAAAGTATTTACTCATGAATTTATTTATTTCAAACTAACTCCCAAGAGGGTGTCTTCCCTGATCACTACAAGCTGTTCAAGTTTAGGGTTAATAATTATCTTCCTCTCCTATCTGCTCTTAATATAACCCTCTACTCTAAAAAAATTAAGTACATTGAATCTGCAGATACAGCAACTGGATAAATCATATCTTTCATTTTTGTGAAACATTAATTTTAATTGGATATTAAAATGTTGTCAGTACAAATGACGGCTTACTTTACATAATGTAAGCTGTTTATTTTTATGCTTTCGATGCTGATCTGTCCTCACATGCGAATAAAGAAATTGCTGAATATTTGTAAAACAATTTAGATTAGACATTCTTAGCAAGTTCAGACAAGTCACATTCGTAACAGCTGGCCTGAATTTATTTGGAAGGTAGTTCTAGTTAAAAGAGTTGGGCTTGTGGCCAAGTATTTAGAATGTTAGCATTCTGACCATGAAACACATATTAAAGGTTCAATTTGCCAAGGAGATGACTTCTTGATACTATCATCCTGGGGAAATGATCCCAATGGGCGGCACCACTGGGAAGTTCCTAAGAACAATGCCACAGGTTGACCCCAGCTGTGCCAGTGAAACTGGGTAGATAGAACAGTTTCAAAGCTGTTGATGGCTGTGAATGCATGAAGTCACAAGTCATTGTGACTGAGCATACATGTCTTGTTCAAATGTGCATATATATATATATATATATATATATATATATATATATACACCGAAGCCAACGGTTTAATCGTTAGAATCTCCAACTGACACCAATTCAGTCGGGTTTCGATCCTAGTTAAAGGCAACCGGATGTCTAGCCACACTGATGAGCTGTGAAACAGCGAAACAGTCTGTCTGTGGATGACGTTTTATATATATATATATATATATATATATTTGTGGCTAGTCTGTTTTCAATGATTAACATGTGTAGTAGTGAGTTAACTGAGAAGTGTTCTGTTTAACAATGGCAGAATATTCATATTGCGTGCAGGCAGATATGGTTTTTACATACGACCGGATGAATGGTAATAGATAGGGGGCTGAACGACTGTATCAGATTACGTTTCCAGACTGAAGCCAGCCGTGTCATCCAACCTTTACTGCTGTTTATTGTTGCATTGCCAAGACAGGATCTGTGGTATCACAAACTATGGATCAAGGAAGACTGAGATCCGTTTGTACACCTGACCATGGAGAACACATTCTACAGGCTGTCGGAAACGATCTTGGTATCAGCACATGTCAAGTGGCCCTAGCATGTCATACATCTGATAGTACCACAAGGAGGGTACTTCAAGAGCAGCTTCTGTATCTATATCATTTGCAATGTGTGCAGGGTCTTTCACCCTCTGATCATTCACCACGGAAGAATTTTGGCTAATGATTTATTGCATAAACTGCTGATTCGTTTATGTTTATCTCTTCAGGCCTGTTTATGAATGAGGCAACATTTGGAAGAGATGGAATAACAAATTTACACAATCAACATTTGTGGGCAAATTGGAACCCCCATGGTGCAATACAGGTTAAGTACCAGCATCAGTTTACAATAAGTATGTGGGCTGGAATTGTAAGTGACTGTCTGGTAGGTCCATATGTCCTCTCAGAATGTCTTATAGGAGCTGGCTACAGGGACTTTATTTTGAACATGCTTCCAAACCTGCTAGAGGATGTACCCCTGCTAATATAAGGACACATGTGTTTCATGCATGATGGGCTTCCAGCATATTTTAGTCACATTGTTCATGATGCACTAAATGACATCTACCATGAAAGATGAATAGGTAAGGGGAGGCACTGGTTCCATGGCTTGCATGTTTCCCTGACTCCAATCCTTTGGATTTGTATCTGTGGGGCCACCTAAAACAATTGGTTTATGCAGTAGACATTAATAATACAGACACGTTTCATCAACATGTCATAGGGGTCTGTAAAACTACTAGACACTGTGTGGGAGTATTTGAAAGGGTCTTCCAGTCAATGATCCGACGGGTGCATGTGTGTGTAGAAGCAAGCGGAGGATATTTGTTATGAGTTGCTGTGTTGAGGTACAATGATGGCTTTTTCGACATATGTTTATAAATATAAATGACAATAGGAAAACTGTGATAGTTGCCGATGTGTTTTGTTTTTGTTATTATTAGTTACTTTGTTTAAAAAAATTCATTTCGTTTTTTGCCTTGAGAAAGTCCAAATTGGACGAAACGCATCGGCAACTATCAGTTTTCCTATTGTCATTTATATTTATAAATATTGTCTTTTTCTACAGGTTAACTCTGAGAAATTTTCACATATGTTTAT